CTGTCCACAACCACCAGGATGACATTCTTTCCATGTGACTTAGGCAGCCCCTCTATGAAATCCATACTAACATGACTCCAAGCCTGCTCCGGAATGGGCAAGGGATGTAGCAGCCCAGGATAGGGCCCCCCATCAGGTTTAACCCTAGCACAAATTTCACATTCCTTGATCCACTGAGTGACATTCTCCTTCATTTTAGGCCAAAAAAAAGCCTTCTTTATCCTCATGAGTGTGCCTTGAACCCCAGAGTGTCCCCCTACAGCTGAGGAATGTAACTCCAGAAAAATAGTGTGTCTTAGAGTTGTTGATCCTCCCACAGTTACCCTGCCCAAATGCCTCACAATTCCATCTATGACCTCAAAATCTGGATTGGAATTGGGGTCTTCTTGCTTCTCTTTTATCAGTTTTAGAATGTAATCATCTTGGTGATAACTATCAATTACCTACTGCATCCATACTGGTTTGACAATGGAGAGAGTATAGCATTCCTCTCCAGCTTCTTCTTTCCTTGATAAGGCATCTGCAACTTTATTTTCTGTTCGCTTCTTGTATTGTATTTCATAGTCCAATCCCAGTAGTTTAGTAATCCACTTTTGTTGTAGTGGAGTGGTGATCTTCTGATCCAGCAAGTACTTCAGGGCTTGTTGATCTGTCTTGATTATGAATCTATTGCCTTGAAGGTAATTCCTCCACTTTTGCACTGCTAGCAAAACAGCTAGGAATTCCTTCTCATAAATGGAAAGCCCCAACTGTTTGAGACCCAACTTTTTGCTAAGGAAGGCAATAGGTCTTCCCTCCTGCATCAATACTGCTCCGATTCCTCCCCCACTAGCATCTGTCTCTAAAATGAAAGGTTTAGTAAAGTCTGGCAGAATTAGAACAGGGGTGGTAGTCATGGCAGCCTTAAGCTCCTTGAAAGCTTGGTCAGCCTCAAAATTCCACAAGAAGTTTCCCTTTTTAAGAAGAGAAGTCAAGGGTCTACTGATGATGCCATAACCCTTGACAAACTTCCTGTAGTAACCTGTCAAGCCCAGAAACCCTCTCAGTTCTTTAATGTTAGTAGGTGTGGGCCAACTCACCATGCTCTCAATCTTCTCAGGATCTGTGGCTACACCCTTCTCACTAATGATGTGTCCAAGGTAGGAAATAGATGTTTGCCCAAAGCTGCATTTACTTTTCTTGGCATAGAGTTGATTAAGCTTTAGCCTGGACAAGACTTCTCTAAGATCCTCCATATGTTGACTCCAGTTAGGACTATAGACCAAAATGTCATCAAAAAATACCAAAACAGTCTTTCTTAACAACTCTCTGAACACTTGATTCATTAGGGATTGGAATGTGGCTGGAGCATTACACAACCCAAAGGGCATGACTAGGAATTCATATTGGCCATTATGGGTCCTAAATGATGTCAAGTATCTGTGTTCAGGGGCCATTAGTATCTGAAAGTACCCTGAACGCAGATCAATCTTAGAGAAATAGGTAGCCCCCTTTAACTCATCTAGTAACTCATCAATAACTGGAATAGGGTAGTCATGCTTGATAGTAAGACTGTTCAAGTACCTGTAATCTATACACATCCTCCAACTGCCATCCTTTTTCTTTACTAATAATACTGGAGATGAAAAGGGGCTCTTGCTGGGTTGGATCTCTCCTGTCTGTAATAATTCTGCCACAATCCTCTCCAATTCAGCCTTTTGACTGTGAGAGACTCTATAGGGATACTGTTGTTTAGGTATGCTCTCAATCTTAAGTAATATCTGGTGTTCAATGCCTCTCTTTGGGGGCAAGGATTGGGGATCAGCAAAGACACTCTCAAACTCCTTCAATAATTGTTCCAGTTCTGCTGGGGCTTCATAATTAGTCTCCTTTCCCGTGATCCAGTATACTTCTTCCACCGCGCTGGGTACCTCTTCATGAGTCATTTTGTATATGGTGTTGTAGGAAATGATAGGGCATTTCTCTTCACACAGTATTTCCACCCTAGTATCATTATGAGTGACTGTTACACTCATTTTCTTATAATCAAACTGGACAGGAGTGAGCTCCCTCAACCAATCTCCCCCCAATATTAGATCAAACTCTGTCCCTGGAAGTACTCTGAATGAATGGTTGAATATGTGTTTTTGTATACTCCATTGAAAATTGGTTATTTGTGATGTACTAACAAGTTTGTGTCCTCCTGCAGCTGTTATTCTTATAGGGACAGCCTCCTCCATCTGACAACCAAGTTTGCTAGCTGCAGAATAACTTATGAAGCTAAGTGAAGCACCTGAGTCTATTAATATATGTATAAGCTGTTTTCCCACTCTTCCCTTTAATGTCATAGTAGTGGGTCCTTTTTTGCAGGTAGCAGCATCTAGTGTAAGAAGTACCTCATCCATGACCTCCTCATGAGCAGTACCTCCTTCTCCCATTTCCTGAGCTTCTGGTCCAGGGTCATCATCCACCAATAGAACATACAATTGCCTGTTCTTACAACTATGTCCAGGTGAAAATTTCTCATCACAATTGTAGCATAGTCCTTTCTCTCTCCTTGCTGCCATTTCTGTTTGTGTCAGGAGTTTGAATGGAGTTTGGGTTTGAGGACTATATGCCTTGGTAGGGAGTGGAGTTATGCAGGAGTTGTCCACTTTCCTTGGACCCAGATTTGGATTTGATAATGGCCTTCCCCCCATTTTAATTTTCTTGGATAATACATCAATAGTAGCTAGCTGATTTTTCACCAACTCAATAGTTGTTTCTAATGTGGTAGGTTTGAACATCTTGACAAAGGCCTTAGATTCTTCTGTGAGTCCACTTATGAAGCTAGAAACAAAATACTCTTCAGTAAGTGCCCCCTTGTGTATTATCTGCATACATGATCTGAGTTCCTCAAATTTCTCTACATAGGCTTCATAGTCAGGTCCCACCTTCAGTTTGTTGAACTCCTCAATAACTGAAGATGCCCTGAGCCCCTCAAACCTAGCAGAAATCACCCCCATAAATTGTTCCCATGTGAGAGTGGCGAGGTCCCTGTCTAGATGTTGAAACCATAGAAGGGCCTTCCCTTCAAAATGTAAGGCGGCCAGAGTAACCCTTTGATCTATTGGTATATGGGGCATTAGTTTAAAATACCCGTTGCATTTCACCCTCCATGATATACAGTTTGTTCCATCAAACTTTGGAAAATCAAGTTTGGGAAAAGGAGCAGATGCGTGATAGTTACCCGTTTCTATGTTTTTGGGCCACGGCTGAGATCTTCCTATCTGAAAACTATGCAGGTTGGGCTTGACTGGTGGCTCTCCCAATATAGAGTCACCTATTATCACCGGATCCTTGTCATGATCCTCCCTTCCTTGGCCAATATGAGAGCTCGCTGAACTGGGTTCCGCCTTCAGCTCCATTGCTTCAAGTTTTTGTGTATTGATTCCAGTTGCTTGATGATCTCACACTGAACCTCCTGATTCCTCAAACGGATCTCCTCATTTTTTTGTTCTGCAGCATCCCTCTTAAGAGTTTCTGCCAAGAAAGTTTGTTCCAATCTCTTTTGCCCTTCCAGACATTCCTTGAGCCGGGTGCCATCCGCCATCTTCCTGGATCAGACTGCTCTGATACCAAATGTAATGGTATTGGCGTGTTGTAGGAGTTAGTTAGAGAAGAAACAGAATGTCAGGGAAGAGGAGAAAGAGTAGAGAGAGAAATAGAATTTAGGATAATATATTTTTCTGTCTATTTCCATACTTCCGATTACAATAAATATGTTTTCTGCCAAGCCCACTAATGGGTTAATTACATATTGATAAAATAGCCCAACAAATAATAGACCAGCCCATACTGATAAGACCAACCCTGCTTCCTTTACTTTTGCCGCTACATTTGTTCAAACTGTTTTCAATAGCCGTTCATGACATGTTCCACGGAACTACTACAAACAATACTGCTCTACTTCAAAATAGCGGAGAGGGCCCATCATCAGTATATGGTGGGAGGAACAACCCCCAAACGTTTGAGAACTTCGAATCTCTCTACAATCTTTCTATGCCCATAATTACTACAATCTCTTTTTCTATGCCCATAATTACTACAGTAATTGCAATATCCTTCAAACCAAGTACTGTTTTCAAAGGACATACCTCTCTCTTGTGATCGACTGCGAACTTGAGAGTTTCCTCTGTTTTGACCTTGGCCTCTACCTCGACCTTGACTTCTTCCTCCATTTCTTCCTCCCCCTCGTCTGCTGGTTTCTGACACGAAGGCATATGATTGTTCAGTCCCGGCTTCTTTTCTTCGGGCTTCTTCATTCGTAAGGGCATGTGTGACCATCTGCATAGTCACCTTACCATTGGGAGCAGAATTGCTAAGAGTGACAACAAGAGTCTCCCAGCTGTCAGGTAGAGAGCTCAAGAGTAGTATCGCCTGCTCTTCATCTTTGAGAACCCATCCGGTGGTGCTCAACTGATTCACAAGATCCTGGAATTGATTGGTGTGTTCTGACACCGAAATACCACCACGCAACTTGCGGTTTACTAATCGCCTCATTAGTAACGTCTTATTCGGGCGGTTTTTGCTTGATACATGCTACCAAGCTTCTCTCATAGTGTGTAAGCACTTTGTTCTTGAGCAACATGGTGGAACACACTATGATCAATCCACTTTCGAATTTGTGCGACAGTTTTTCGATTCATTTTTGTCCATTCTTCATCCGTCTTTTTATCCGGTTTCATGCCATTATAATCAAGAGGATCGGCTAAATCCCTCAAATTTAGCAAATCCTCCATCTCAGGCTTCCACATATCACTACTAGAATTTTCCTTATTTGCTGCTACCTAATTGCTGCGGTTCTTCCTCAAAACGCAGCAAATAGGCAAAATTTATAAGTATTTGCTGCGGTTCCTTTGCGACCGCCGCAAAAAGTATGAAAATTAGTTACTTTTTGCTGCGGTCGTAGAGGAACCGTAGCAAATACCTATTATATTTCTATTTTTTATTTTATTTTTACATTTGTGCTGCGGGTATGTGGCAACCGCATCAAATACTCTGAATTTATCATGTGTTTGCTGCGGTCATATGGAGAACCACAACAAAAAGGCCTTTTAAATTTTGAGATCTTGCTTCTTCTCCCAATCCCCCTCCCAGAAAACCCTACGGCCCAACCTTGGTGCAGCCACAACCAGCTCCTCCCTGACGGCCCTCGCCGACGCTCCTTGCTGACGTCCCTCACCGACATCCCTCACCGACGTCCCTCGCTGATGCAACTGCAGAGTACCGTAGCCTCTGCCTCGGCCTCACAACCCTGTTGTAAAGCCCCCTTGTGCCTCCGACTTGGATACTATTTCTCCTCTCTTTCAAGGTAAGTTATTTATCTTCTTATGCTTATTTGTAATTTAAAATGTGTATTTGTGTATTATTGTGGTGTTATTTCAGCCTACAATTATTGCATTCTTTCTGTATGATAGATCGATTTTGTGTATTGTTGTTGTGTTATTTCAGTCTATAGTTGCATATTTTCTGAATGATAGATTGACCAAAGTATGCACTCATGGTGTTTGATGAAAAGTCTAAGTAGAGTGGAGTAAAATTTCCACCATCTCTCATGATTAGGGGTGGTTCGGTATGGCATACCGAAAAATTTGCGCCATACCGTATACCGTACCGAAATACCGGTATACAAAAATGACATACCGTTGCCGTACCGAAACTTCGGTATACCGATGGTTCGGTATACCGAAATTTCGGTAACCCAAAATGGCATATTGATACCGTACCGAATATTCGGTATTTTCGGTATACCGAAACTCAAGCACAATATCAATATACCGAAAGTGTAATGACATGTTAAAGTAAAGTCTCACATAAATTCAAAAATTATTATTAAACACCAATAATAACTCATGTAAAACTGCTCATTAGCTGAATGCTCAATTTTTAAACACAAAATATGATAAACTTAAAATCATGTTCAACCTTATTCCAGAAAAAATCCAACAAAAATTCAGTACAAATACATATTTAAAGCAATTATAGCATAGACTTTATAAAGCAATATAGATGCAGCGGCCCTAAATCTAAAATCCACATGATCATCACTAAACTCGTGGGCCTCGTGGCTACAGGCTACTGTTGAACTCGTGGCTACCGTTTCATCATTCCCCGAGCTCTGAAAAGAGAAATTAAAAAGGGTGGAAAAACAATTTCATGGCAATGAACAAAGAGTTAGTACCAAGCTCACGATCAGGAGGCAGGATTCCCTAGCGACAAAGTACCTGCAGCTGCACCTCATTTATATTTCCAAATAAAAGCTAAAGGTATGCTAGGAAAGGTATCAACTTGGCTAGGAATACAGCCTATAACAACCCAAGCCAAATCCATTATATCTCATGAAACAAGTGATCAACTTCCAATTTGTCTAGGAATGCAACATATAACAACTACTCAAGCCAAATCCATTAGAGAAAAAGCAGAAGTTACTGCTGCACTCATAAATGACTTAGAAATAGTACAAAAAAGCCTAACAATGACTGACCTACACCAGTAAATGAAGAAGTCAACCTGCACCAGCAAAGTAAGGGTACCAAAAAACTGCATTAAAGGCTTGAAGCTGATATTACAAAGACAAATTAAAATGAACCAGTTCCAGAAATATACTTATTTTTTTCTTCATTAGTAAATATACTTCACTTATTCACTGTAAAACCACCTTACAGCCTAGGAAGTGGTTCATTTTTACAGATTTTTCCGTGTAAAATGACTATTAGTAAGGAAAAGGTTCATAGCCAAATTTCGGAAATTGACTATTTTTTTCCAAACAAAAACAGTACATCCAACACTATTGGTTGTGTAATCACTAATCACTAATCAGTGTCACTAGCACTCTGTCACAAAGATCAGAATATATTATTTGGGATGAAACAAAATATGTTTTTTTTATTATTCAGACGAACTAATTACATACAAAATCATCAAATAACAATTAAATATTGAAGGGTTATAGAGTAAAAGGGAATAATCAGTGCATGAACTTCAACTACGGTTGCCCATTCCAGTTTATACTACTCATGAAATTTATACACTAGAGTCTATGACAGTTAGAAGCCTTACTTAATAGTTAATACTGCTAATGAAATTTATAAATGATTGCTTACTTAATAGTTAATACTGCATATAAAAACATATTAAACGCTGAATTCAATGGGCATTAATGCATTATGAACCTACTAACTGCAAATTAGAACATGCCTATGTGTGAGAGGAAGTCTGCGAGCGTTCCTGAGTGACATTTGCATCTGTAGAAGAAACATAAAGAAACATTAGATTAACATCAAAATTTATCATTTTAATCTAAACTTAATGTGTTATAAAAATTACTCTTTTCAATTTCTTCAATCTCTTTATACAACTCAAGGTCATCATCAGTTGGATCCTTATAAAAGCTGAAATCCTCTGCTCTTAACCAATCATTCGTACAAACCAAAGCTTCAACCATTTTAGGACTTAAACTGCTTCTAAAGGGATCAACAACTCTTTTACCTAAACTGAAAGCAGACTCACTAGCAACCGTTGAACTTGGTATCGCAAAAATATCTTTTGCAATCAATGAAAGAATTGGATACCTAGTTTCACTTCCTTTCCACCACTCCAAAAGATTAAAAGATTGATTAGATCTCTTCTCAATCTCATCAGCTAGGTACTTATCTACCTCATTAGAAATCTCTTTGAGTTGTTCTTCTTGATTTTGTGCCTCAACGTCGGTAAATAACTCATCCCAAAGACCATCACCCGCATTACTAGTACCAGCTCCACCTTCCAACTCCAATTGCATATTTTGCCGCTCAACATTAGTGGTCTCATTTATGCCTTTGTATTCTGCCCACAGAGTCGCCAAGTCACTTTTGACTTTATCAACAAAATCCTGGACCTTTGTAGAAGTAGCTGGCAGTTTCTTCATACTGACTTTAATCATCTGGAGCTTATTTCTTGGGTCCAAAATATTGCTAATAAAAATTACAGGATTTACAGTAGTATTCCATTCGCCCCAATACTTTTGAAACTTCAACATCATTTTACCAGCCACCTCCTGGAGAATTGGGTCAGACTTGTCATTTTTCTTTTTTTCTATCTCAATTTGCAGTGCAATCATGGATTGATAAAGCAATTGGGAGGTGGGAGTTTTTGATGCACTTAACTCTAAGGTGACATCATAAAACTTTTTTAAAAAGTGCACAAAAGCTTTAGCATTCTCCCAATTTTCATGACTTGGAGGCCCTACTCGTACTTTACCCTTTTCATTTTTTTCACGAAAGTACTTAATAAATGGTAACCACTCTTCAACCATCCTTTCAAACACCCTCCTAAACTTCAATGCAACTTCAAGCATTTTATATGTTGCATTCCACCTTGTTTTTATATCCATAGGCACAGTTGATGTATTAGAAAACTTTGCTAATACGGCAAACTCTCTAAATTTATGCAACCTAGATGGTGAAGAATGAATGAAAAGAACCGCATTCTTTATAGATTCAATTGAAGCATTGAGTTCTTTGAGACCATCCTTAACAATCAGATTGAGTATATGACACCCACACCTCAAATGCAAGTACTTTCCTTCAAACATCAATGTATTTTCGATTTTCATTCTCTTTTTCAAGTAGTCAATAGCTGTATCATTTGAAGTAGCATTGTCAACTACTATCGAAAATACTTTTTCAATCCCCCACTCTCTCAGACACACCTCAACCACCTTACCAATATCTTCCCCAACATGACTTGTGATTTTTGTGAAGTTAATTATTCTTTTATGCAGTTTCCAATCACTGTCCAAAAAGTGAGCAGTAACAACCATGTAATTTATGTTCTGGATGGAAGTCCATGTATCGGTTGTGATACTTACCCTTTGCCCAGTTATGACACTTTTTATTTTAGCTTTCTCAACTAAAAACAAGTCATAAACCATACCTGCCACCTTCTTACGATCTGGGATTCTGAATCTTGGTTGCAATTCATGCACAAGACTTACGAAGCCCTTCCCTTCAACAGCTCGGAATGACATCTCATCGATAATAACATATTCTGTAAGCTTCAACTCACACCTTTTTTGATTGAAAGTATGAGAAACCAATTCAGTGACCTGCCCCATTTTCTCATTTGTCAACACAGGCTGATTTTTGTCACTTTCAGCTGCTTTGTACAAGGGACTCGATCTGCACCTGTTCACTAAGTGGTTTTTCAACCCGCTAGTGCTGCCATGACCTGCTGGGATCTGCGTCTCACAATAATTGCAAGTTCCAATTGGTTGAATGGTGCCATCCAACAAGGTCCTTGACCCCTTTTTACAATGATCCCAAAAGATGCTTCGAGTTTGTGAAACGGGGGGCTTAAGTGCTGCTGTTTTGTTCCTTGCTCGTTTCCGACTAGTACCAGCTTCAAGCGATTCAGATTCTACGATGTCTGGTGATTCAGTTGGAGTTGGAAGAGAATGAGATGATTGAGATTCCATTCTTACTTCTGAAATAAAAACAAATAATTAGTTTTTCAGATTGTAAACAAATGCATCTATCACAACATTTATTTACTTATACACACGCATGTATAAAATTGGAGTAAAGATATATGACCATTGACCTGCATCCATGCTGAAAATTGGACTTTAGATATATGACTTGCAAGTTGTCCCTTCTAGCAGAGCAAGTTAAGTCCAGGTTGCTCTCAAAGAATGGTAGATAGTTGTGTTGTTTTTGTCACCTAAAATTCAAAAACCAGAGATGATTTGTTGTTATGTAACATACTTCAGGGGTTGGGGGTATATTCACATCTCAAAACAGTAATAATTCTGTGAAGCAATAATTTGTAACAGTAATAATGCTGAAGCATGAATATGAAATATGGATCTTTTTTCAGTCTGACAAGTAAATGGCAGGGTAAACTGGGGTAAAAGTATTGCATCCATTCAAAGACCTATCAGAAAGCATATTGCAAACAATTTAGAAAGTGGAAAGAACCTAGAAACAAAGAGAGAGAGATACGAGGTAGCAACCCTCAGACCGCTTAAAAAGAAAATACTGAGTCAGCAACCAATCAGAAACCAAACTACAAACAAAGAATACTTCAATACCCATCTTTCTTTACAGCTGCTTTGAGATCATCCCTAATTAAACTACTTTTGCATATGCTACATCCACATAAGTCTTAGTCCCCCGACACTGCAGCTCAGTGTTAAAACCCCAGCAGCTTCCTCGACGGTAGCATGTGTTACTAACAGTTCATCACTTGTATTCTCAGCAAAAATTTCTAGCAAACCTTTAATGTTATTACAAGTATTTGCACAAACTTCTTCTTACAGTCAAATCTTTAGTGAAGTGAGTTTGCAGTTGTGTTATTATATACATATACAATATAGTTATATAGCTTATTATGTCATGTGTAAGTTGACATCCTCATTTTGTTTGGACAAGTTACAGGTAGGACTGAAGTTACCATTGACAGAGGCAAAATGTGAGGAGCTTTTTCAACTGATTAGTAAAATGGTTATACATTCATAAACCATATACATAGTATGGTTTTTGTAACCAACGTCTAATTGGTTCCAGAAAATGGCAAAGCCCGTCTAGCAAACCTCTATTTGAATTCAAACAAGATTAATTACTCATAATGAATAAGTTTTCATATAAGAACACAGAAGGAAGTGATTGATTAATACCTTTTCGTATCAGAATTAAGTCCACGCGACCACGCCTGGCCGCTGCTTCTCCTACGCTTCCGCTCTTCTTCAAGAAATACTCGCCGCCGGGAGCTGGATTACGTATTGGAGAGTGGAGAGTGGAGCTCGATTATGATTTATGAGTGGAGAATGAAGTCCACAGCTCTCTGAAACCCTATCGGCTCTTCCAATTCTTCGCAGACTCACAGTTTCCACACGACCATAGACCTAGTTTTTGGACTTTGGAGAGTGGATCTTGGCCAAAGTGGGCTAATGGTGGTGGACTGTTATTGGCCCAATAGACAAAATTATAACTAAATGTAATTATTTATATATATGGGATTACGGTATTTCGGTATACCGAACATTTATACGGTATATACCGATACCGTACCGAAATAGTTCGGTACGGTAACATACCTTACCAAAATTTACGGTAAGGAAAAATTTCGGTAAAATCGGTATTTTACGGTACGGTAAGAGCGGTATTTCGGCGGTTTCGGTATTTTTCCCCAGCCCTACTCATGATATGCGTTTTTTTAATTTATAACTCTAATGTACTATATAACTCTTTTGGATTTAATTTTATTTTATTTTGCATAATAGTGTATACGACATCCATGGCGGCACTGAAGCTGCAAACTTCAACTCTATTAACCTTCTAAAAAACTTATCAGGTGATGTATCTTTTATCTAAGTTATGACTGTAATTTTTAATTAAATTGAAACATGCATAAACTACGGAGTAAAACATCTTAACCTTACAAAAGTGTTCTCATCCAACATCAAAAGTTGACCATAAATTTTCTCACCACTATCTTGGCCTGTGGCCATATTGGTTTTGTTTGCCACTATCTTGGCCAATGGCCATATCGGTTTTAACGTAAGACTACTCTTTTTACATGGCCATATTAATCAACCTTGGCCTAGATTAAAAACAGAATACTTTTTTACTCCTTTTTTTCATTTGGGGCTGTCCGTTTTCCTCAGTAAAGCATAAGTGATTTTCTTAGCAAGGCTTCAGGCAGTGGCGGAGCCACCATTGTTCAAAACCAATGTTCTAAAACGCGCTAGGCGCTAGTCGGGCGTCAGCCCAATGCCTAGCGCCTAGGCGGCTAGGCGGGCGCCTAGTCGGGGACTAGTCGGAGACATAAAAATTGCATTTTTATCTATATTTTTGCATAAATATGATAAGTAATATTGTATTTTTGTGTGTATAAAATACATATATACATATACATTAACAAACATGAAAGATAGAATTCTCACATTTAATTATACTTAGTATATGATAACTGATCACTTAACTTCATTATAGTATAAATATAATTAATGATAAAATTTAGGTATGTATACAAACATATACTCCCTTCGTTTCTATTTGGTTGACACACTTTCCTTTTTTGGACGTTTCAAAATGAATGTCACGCTTCTTTATTTCCTTATTTGGTAAACAAATATTTACCTAAACAGTGCAAAAAAGTGTCAAACAGTGTTCAAACAGTGCCAAACAGTGTTCAAACAGTGTCAAACAGTGTTCAAACAGTGCCAAACAGTATACCTTATAGTAAAATTTACCCCTCAATAACTTTTTTCCCTTAAATCTTGACAAGTCAAACTGTGTCAACCAAATAGAAACGGAGGGAGTATAGTTTTATCTTGATTTAAAACTTCATTTCTTTATATCCATGATTAAAGTTAAAGTACATATATCGCTTAGAATATTAAAACTAAAAAGTAAAGTAATGTTCGGCGAATCTAGACGGCCTAGGCAGCCGATTAGGCGCTCTAGGCGGGCAACTAGGCACCATAGGCGGCCAACTAATTCACATAGATAGGAAACCAATTAGTCGGAGCGCCTAGACAAAAATCGGGGCGCCCGACCACCGCCTAGCGCCTAGGCGGGGACTAGTCGGGCGCCTAGAACGATTTTTAGAACAGAGTTCAAAACTATTCACATGAACACCCAAAATCTGAAAAAAGTGTAAGTATACATGGATAAATTTAGTGTAATTATTTAATTAATGTTCTTTAAATTCTTGGTTGTGAAAACAAATTGAACACCCAAAATGCAAATTCAAAATCCACCACTGGCTTCAGGTACAATTCTAAAGCTTCATACCAGGTTTTCTCCAGTTTTTTGAGCCTGAAACATTTTGCAATTTTTCATTAATTTGTATAATAGATAAAGTGTCACTTTGACTAAATGGTTTTATTACTTGAAAAGTGCTAGAGTTTACTAATTAGAATAGTGTAGTACTGAGATTCTCATGGTACCTAACCATGAAAACTTCAGGATATTTTTAATCATTTATTTCCTGTGATTTAGACTCTGAGCAAGATCGCCTCTGGTCACTGATAATCTCCAAAAATAATGACTTTCAATTTCCTGTTTGTTTTATTGGGCATGCTCAATTGACATGGAATTGGTTCAATCCTTATTCGTGGGGGTGTTCTTTTTGTTGAATTCATTAGTTTATGTTTTTTGTTTTCTTTTTATATAGATGGGTAATTGAAGTCACAGGAGCACCCGGAACTTTGTATGCTAACGAGACATATGAGCTTCAGGTTGAATTTCCTTAAAATTACCCTATTGATGCTCCTCAGGTATTGGCTTCTATCTCTCTGATACAAGTTATCAAGATTTGTAATTGACTTTCTTTTTATTCTTTTGATTCAATTGCTTAACAGTTTTGAAATCTTACAAAATCCTCTGCCAATTTAAGCATTCTAGTCTGTATTATGTATGTAGTTTTCATTTCCCCTAAAAGAGTAGAGACTGGAGTGTTGAGATTGGACTGTTGATTATTTGATACTTCAGTGCAAATGTAAATAAACATACTTTATCTAAGATTCTTATAACTAGCTATAATAATATGGTTGTTCACTTGCATTTCTAGGCTTCTAGCTAGCAACTGCATTTTTTTACTATTACGTATTATTCTTCAAATAATTTTCTTTTTGGTATACAAATCACATATTTTTATTTCTGGAATGACAGGTTATTTTGTTCAGCCAGCTCCTCTCCATCCTCACATTTATAGCAATGGACATATCTGTTTAGGTTAGCTTCACTACCATGAACTTCAGGAATGATCAGGAATGAATGATGTTCAGAGTCGTTAATATATATGCAGAAATCTTACACAGGGTACCTCCATAGATTACCAGGAGCATTGCCTCTCAAGGTTTTCGTTGGATACTCAATTTACAAGGACAACTCACCTAAGTGATTGAGATGAAAAGGAAGAGAAGATGAGACATCACACTGAGCAAGGCGCTCGATATGGTGAAAATAGAAAAAAAGGATAACTTATTGTATGTTGTTAGTGACGATGAACTATATAGTGATGGTAATTTGTATTGTATTATTTATGAATATTGGATATATGATTTTTTGGGAATTATGATTGTGATTTGTGCTGATACGATACTCAGATGTATAAATGCTTTTTTTTCTTATTTTATGAACATTTTATGATAAAAACCAATTTTAAAACTATTTAAAAACAAAAATAATATACCAATACTTAAAAGCCTATTTGCTGCGGTTCAAAAGCTATTTGCTGCGGTTCATAACCGCAGCAATAAGTTATATTCAATTTTTTAAAATAGTTATTTGCTGCGGTTCACAACCGTAGCAAATACGTTTTCCCATTATTTGCTGCGCTGCCAATTGCTGCGGTTCAAAACCGCAGCAAATAGGTACAAATGACCGCAGCAAATAGCTATTATTCTAGTAGTGTATTGTAATTTGTGGAAGTGAGCGCAATCATGGTGTCCGATGATGATTTATCCATAATAAAACGCTCAATATATCTTGTACCTTATTTTTGAGGCCGAATTAGGACAAACGGAGCTCACTGTTGGATCCGGAATGGCCGAAAATGGTAGGGACCGGTCTGACCTCGTCCAAAACGGTCTGGAAATAGGTGAACCGGCCTACACAAGTACGAACCGGTTCGGTCCGGTTCAGGCAGCAAGCAGCCCAGTGGGCAGATGATGTGGCAGCAGCTGGCGCTGACGTGGCGTCTGACGTGGCTCCCGGCGGATGGCTTACTCGGATGACGTGGCGGCTGACGTGGCCTAACGTGGCGTTGATGTGCCGATGATGTGGCGCTGGCGTGTCTCAGCCCTTCCTCTGGACTGCGTGATGACGCAGATAGTTTCCAGGCAACGGTTGAGCGGCGCGTACGGCCTCTTCTGGTGGCCAAAAAAATCCCCAAAAATACCAGATTTCGTATCGACGAGACGAATCTAACGGTATGATCAGATCGTGATTCCGAGCAACTTGAAAAATCATGATTTTCTAACCTGTAGAAATTTTTCTGAAAAATGAGAAAACAGTATAGAAACTCAACCTGGCTCTGATACCACTTGTTGGGATTGGAAAATTCTTCTATTCAATATCAAGAACAGAATTACAATAGGAGGAGCAAACTCTCACACTCAACTATTACAAAAAAACAATCCTCACCAATACACTTGTACTCTAAGTGTATTTTACTCTTCACACACTTTTCTCACTTTCTAAACTGATGCTATGAACAACAATAGAACACTCTATTTATAGGCTAGTTTGGAGACAAGAGGAAGTTGCATCCAAACTTCCAAGTTATCTTCATATCTTCTCCCATGTTCCTGTGTTTGATAGCTCCTTCCTAGAAGGTGTGCAATAAATCTATAGACAGAAGGTTTAGCCATTTGTGTTGTTGAGACACATGGCAATCCCGTACATGGTCAGTGATGGTCTTTTTCATGCCAGGCCAACAAAGTTCTCGACGCACCCTCTGTAACGTCTTAGCACTACCTTCATGGGCATGGAGTTGAACAAATTGACTATAGTTGGAACTGCGGTAAAAGATGGCAACAAGTACACTTTATATGGGAAAAACAACAGCCCCTCTCAATATGCCCACTCTGTTCCAAGGCACCTTCGTTAAGCAACCTAAGCTGACGTCGAAGAGCTCCGAATTTGTCAGAGGCAGCTATAAATGCTAACCTCTGGATACGATAAATTGAGGTTGCAAGCCGCCTGTGCCTCCGTCTCCTCTGCACGAGTTGCTGAAACCTCCCCACCGAGTGTGATCATACCAGGAAGGGTGCTATACTGGTGTGGTCATGGAGCCATCAAACATTTGGTCGTTGGTTTGCCGTGCCATATGAGGTTGCACCCATCCAATAGAATTGCATAGACAGATTGTTAAAATTCCAGAAGATCGCGCCTAAGCCTCGTAACTACTGGACCCCAAAAATCATATCAAAACTAGCAATGGGAAGAACATTATAATCAGCATGGGAGGGAACTCCCAAAACCTCAAAAGTTAACTGAGGACAGCTACCTATAATAGGATTAAGGAATTTTCTATGGGTGAAATGTACTCGAGTCCGTTAGCCAATCGTGAATGCACAAAATTATGCGTGTTCCCAGAGTCGACTAAAATCAGAACTGGTTTACCTCGCAAGGATGCTGTAATTTGCATCGTTTTGGGTGAACTGGAACCTGAAATGGCATTGAGGGACAAGGAAAAGTCAGAATCTATGGTTCATCGCCTTCGTCATCCAAGATTTCTAATGCAAAACGCTGCTTGCAACAATGACCGTGAAGTCCGCGAACATAACGTTCATCACAATGATAGCAAAGACCTCTGGCTTGGCGACTGGCTTCCTCCGCTCTGGAAATACGACGCCGCCAAGTAGGAGGTTGTTGTGAGTCCTCGATGGTCTGCTTTGGATTTGAAGCAATGAAACTGGTTTGCGATGCGATGGACAAAGGGGACTGTCTCGCCGAATCGGTTGAGTTCGCAAGGCTGGAAGTAGTGTCAGGGATTGTTGTTTGCGCTCAATCTGCCTGGCCAGATTTATGGCCAAGTCCATGCTTCCTGCCTTTCCTGGAGCCTGAAACTCCAGTTCCAAACGGATTTCCTGACGAAGGCCTGCTATGAACGCGTTGACTTCAAATTGACTGGGCAATCCGTTTACACGTGCCAATAACTGCTGAAACAAACTGATATATTCTCCTATTGTCCCCGTTTGTTTGAGCCGAAAAGTTCTCCCGAAGGGATGATGCTAAAAGGCGGTCCAAAACGAAGGAAACTGTTTTCAGAAAAGGCGTTCCAAGAGATATTTGCACCCAATTTTTCTGACATGTGTGATGGGGGCTGTTTGTTGATGTGAAAAAAATGTTCACAACATTTCAGCCGACTGAGTGGGTCGCTTGTACCATCATACGTAGGGAAATCGAGTTTGGAATAGCGGGGCACAATGTTATTCACTTATTCTGGATATGGACTCGATGCTGGTCTTCCTGAAACTCCGTATTTTCACCCTAGGATCCGGAGGTGCTGTTGCTGTTGGAGTCGGTGTGTGAACCTGCAGATTTACTAGTCAGCCAGCAAGCTGTGTGGAAGTAGATACTAGTCAGCCAGCAAGCTATGTCGAAGTAGATGTCACAAGATCTGCAATTTTTGCCTTAAGCGATCCTTGGCGCTGGTTAATGACTACCATGAGCCCATGAAGGTTTGGAGTGTCTGTGGTGATATGATCGTTCCCCATTGTCCTGGATACTGACACCAAATTGTTAAGGGTCCTTGTACAGGATCTAGTCCAAGGACGGTGATTCTGAGAAGAATGAGAAATATTAATTGACTCCCGCCCTCAGCAAGGAGTTGTCACAGGTTCCACCGTGCGCCAATTAAAAATTAATATTCCAAAGCTGATCGTATTATTATTCCAACTGATAAGCCTTAAATAGGCAAAAGATAAGTTTCCTAAAAAAAATAATAGGAAAGAAGTAATAAAGAAGCTCTTAAACTAGTATAAGGAAACCTGAATAAATAAACTGGTATTAGACTCAAAGTGGGAAACTGATTTAATTAATTAAAATAGACTCAAAGTAGGAAACTGATATAATTGATTAAAATAGATTCAATTCAGGAAACGGATTTAGTTAATTAAAATACTGAGGAGTGAGGACCACTCAAGCTGATCCATTCTTTGACCACCTCTGGTAGATTCTGCCAAACCGAACCATATCATTTCTTTTGAGTTTATTGTGCAGATTGAAGTTGTGGATATACTCTTTGAAGAATCAAGTGCAGAGTTGCAGACAAACTAAGTTCTTCTGCTTTGAGAGAGTTAGAAGCCAAGAAGCTCAGGTTAACTCATACAGACTGATAGATATAATCATATAACCATATAAACTTCTATCACTTATCAGACATTGTGTTGCCTTCCCAAATATAGTGGTGGAATGGATGGTTATGCCTGTTATTTCATTTCATTTCAAATTATAAATTGGCTAGTAGATTTCTTCTACATTTTTTCTCAGTCCTTGTTTCTCTTGATATATAAGACATGAGGTTTTTGGTGTGGGTAATTTCTATGTCCAAAAGATCGTCAAGAGATGATGCTTAAATCATACTTCTACACTTTCCAATGTGGGATGTCCACTCACCCCTCAGCTGAATTCGAACTGGACAACTAAATAGGTGGACCGTGGACATATTGGTCCAAAACATCAAAGGGACGGGCAGTGCCAAAACCGCTCACTGACCAAATTTTGATATCAAAATAAATTGGGTATAAGTAAATTAGTAAAATGTTAAAGCATGGTATTATGGTAATATTGTAATATATATCCTATGACTTAGATTGATACACTGCTTATATCAGAAAATAACACGCCCTAACTCTCCAAGTAAGGTTTCTACTACCATAATTTAACTCATTAATTGTATTTTATCAAGGTTTACCTCACACCTATATACTAGACTAAAACCCAGCCACCCAGGTAATCAATACAGATACTCCACAGTTTACAGTTACCAAGCTAGAAATGTCCAATGAAAAGATGAAAACAATTGCCTTTTCATTTTTGGACTTTTATTACATTTTCAAGTTAATTAAAAATTAAATAATTTGTTTTTCACAACGTTTCTCAACTGCATACACGCATAATAACTTTTTCAATATTTGCCTCAAATTTGGGGGATCTTCAACCACAAGAATCAAGATGCCTCATGATTTTTTTATGATGGGACATTAATAAGCTGTGAATGTTTTATCATTAGCACAGTGGAACTGTGGAAGATCCTTTGGTGGAGGCAGAACCTATTGATCTGATCTCGGTCCATCTTCCACTTCAAATGTTGTTTTCAGCCCCCAACCTGTGTGCAGCTCCAAGTGACAGTGGAAAAACCAGACCCCTGCACATATATTCCAAAAAGTAAAACAAGAATTAACGACTTTCATGTGATCTGATAGTTAGCATTCCATAGTTGATCATAAATGGGTTTACGTGGGGGGATGAGCAGAAAACTGATTATACCTGGAAACCTCTGAAGGAGGCAGTGATTAGAAGGACTCATCCAAAATGGGTTCAAAATTCAGTTGCACTAATGATTAGCATTAAACAGGTAGGCACAGGATTGAAGTTCAGAGATGAAGACAAGAGGGGATGGAAGGAAAAAAGGGGTTGTATGAACAAACCTCAGCATTGGGTAGAAGGATTGAAGGGAATCACATGTACCCGTTCGTAAAGATGAGGGAGGTGCTGATGGATCTTGTCTTAGTGGCAGTCTTTGCCATAGCAGTGATGTATTCAATGGAAATTTTATTCTCAATGTTGTTCAGTTCTATTACTTGAGATTTCACTCTTATGTACATCGTGTGAAGTTCAGATCAGTTGTTCATTACTTCATTCTGTGAGATGAAGTTCTAGAGTGGTTACTGTCATACACTGTGATAATACCGCAGATGTAGAGAGGGATTATAACCTTGTCATGAACCCTGTTGCTAGGGGCTATTCGGGATCTGGAAACCTGGGCATTGGACCTCTTGTTGGTTCTAGGTGGGTGACTTATATTGGAAATCCAGTTTCTATGCCTGCCCTACTAAGAGGCTCTTCCAACTGTTTGACTAAAAATGATGGTGTTACAATGGTAGAAATCGTACGAAATGGAAGAAACAGATAGCCGAGACACTTAGAGCAGTCCCCTCTCCCAAGTCCCATGCGCAAGCCTATTAGAATTTCTGCCTCCCTATCTTCTTCCCTACTTCCCCCTCTTATAGTAAATCTATTCTTAAGGGCCGGCCCAACTTATGAATTATATGGCCCGACACCCTTATTTGTAAATTATTGCATTATTTAATATAGATCTATTGCTCTTATTATTATTGGCTGTCCATGTCCCTATCAATGTTGCCCTTAACGCAATGAGGTGGGTGTACATTAGGGACTTGGTTATTAAGTGGAGGAGCTCTTATGGAGGAAGCAGCACAAAAAGCTATAAGCTCTTATGGATTTCACCTACTAATTTTCTAGGTAGGGGGCAGCCCTTTAGTGATTCTAAAGTGCATAAAAGAGGTTTAAAGCAGTTGACAAATGGAAAAGAGTATCTTGCAAAGTTTCCCTTATACCAGTTTTTTATCCACAGTCGAAACAACAGCAGGTTCTGCACATAGATACAGAAATCGCTGAGGTGCCCGCGTTTTGCGTTCCGGATCACGCGTACCGGATCGCGGTACAGTTGCGCGCCGGTCGCTGCTGGGTCGCGACTCAGGTACGGCGGATTTCGGTCGTAGTTCGCGCTTCACTTGCAGGTGGTTCGCCGTATCCCGTTCGTCGTTCGCAAGTTTCCCTTAGCGGACGACGATCCAGCAGTCCAAGCGACGCGACTTCTACTCTCCAAGTGATTCGACTTCTAAAGTCTAAATGACTCTTTCCTATTCATAATTTCGTACCTCTGAAATCTAAATGACCCTTCTTGACTTTCATACTTCCTTCCAGACTCCAAAGAGACAGTTGAATTGTTTTTTTTTTTGTTACACGCATTTAAACTTTAAATGTTCAAGACTTTCATACTCAATTCCACGGTTCAGAACCTTAGACTTCGTTCTTAATATTTTAATTACTTTTGTTAATTATAGTTACTTTATTTGTTTAAGTACTTCAGACTTTTTGTTTAATGTTTTATTGAAGTTAATTGTTTAGTACTAGTATTATATTATATTTATTACATTTATAGTTTGTACTTAATACACAAAAATTGTAGGTAGTATATGTTTATGGTACACCGTACCGTGTACCGAACTAGCGTACCGAAGAAGCCTACCCCCCTGCGTATCGTTTTTTTCATATTAGCGAACCGCGTTCCCGTTTTCATATTACTTCTGCACTTCATGTCATTGTTTGCACCTATCAATTTTGAGTCACAGGATTCCTATTGGAAAGCTTCCTTTAATACCTCTGCAATTGAATCTGCCATTGTTGTTAGTCAGTTAATTGATGTTCCTGCTGTTCTTCTTATCAGTCCCAGGGAATACTTCATGTAAGATACTACAATTTCAAGGAGTGAAGCAACTGAAACCCAAGGGCTTGGGTTATATCCTGAGGCAAGAGCTGTTAGCAAATGGAAGATTGAGCAGTTGGTGATTGGTAAAGCTCAGTTCCAGTATGAACAAAGCCACCCGGGTGGTACTGATGTTCTGAAGGTAGAGGATCTATTGATGCTTTTGCTAGAAGAAGTGAGGAGGAAGATTCAAGTATGGAAGCTACTGTCCAGCAAACAGTGAGGTATTGGGAAGGAAGAGCCGAAGAGGCGCCAGGATGAAGCATGATTTCCAGTTTCCTATCACCCATCTTGAAGACAAGGTGGTTGCTTAAAGGGGGGAGATATGATAGGGACCCGGGTAGAATAATAATAAATAAGAAGAATACTAGAATAGTATAAATAGGAGGGGGTGAGTAAGAAGAGCAGGCTGTTAGTCAGTTAGAAATAGACTGAAGAGCAGGACCTCTCGAAGAGTAGTTTTTCTTGATTTTCAGTTGTAATTCCACCATTGATACACTTTGAAGTTCTGAGAAAACATTAGCAATATACAGTTTCTTTACTACTTTCTGAGTTACCTATCATCTACTTTCTGAGTTACCTATCAGGCAACTCGGTCAAGGCCCTAGTAGTGAGCAGGACGGCATACTTTGGATTAGTCAGTGATTACTCGACTTGATAGTAAATAAATTTAGAAATATAAATGTCCCAAATATTCTAACTTTCCAAGAAAATTAATCATTTAATAATACTTCCAAACTTTTGTCCAAAACTATCTTCATTTGGTTCAAGGTCGCCATTTTCTTCTTCCTTTCAATGTCCCCAAATAGATCTTCCCCAAACAGATATTTACTAGTCGGATTTCCTAGAAGTTCATTCTATTCCAAATAATCGAATCAGACTGGTGCATTCTCTCTTCTGTTTTGACTCTTTGTATTTGCACGTGCATGAGCGGCTTGTTGGATTGCGCGTACTTGTTTCCAAGTCAGATCAGCACTTTGTGATCTTATTTTTCCAGATTTCAAATACCCACTAATTATTTACAAATTCCATAGTATACCACTTAGAGTTTAAAAAGTTTAGATTTAACCCCCAAAAAATTAATTACTGCTTGCCGAGTATCTCAGCCAGTCAACCTTGTCACCGAGTAGAGAAAATCACCTAGTACTTGACAAGTTACTCAGAAAATCGAAACGGAGCGAGTAAGAGTGCTAACAAGTGCACTAAGGCTCCCCTTCATTTTGACAAATACTTTTCTTTTAAAAAAATCAATTTCAACCATAACACTTACCAGGCGGAGCCTTAGCAAAAAAAAGTCATGTTGGTCTGAAGAAATTGGTGGACAATGAATCGATCCTCTTAACATTAAGGATAGAAAGGAAGGGACCAAGTCTCTTGATTTACTAGTCCATCAAAGGAGTGAATATACTTACCAGCTTAGAGATTCTTACAAGAAAAGGCGACACTCCCAATTGCTGAACATAAGAATTCCCAAACTCGTTTCATCGAATTGAAATCCCAACTGAATGTCCACTACATTGATTAATACCAATTGAGAGCCTGAAAACAATTAACACATTTTCATCTAGGTTGTTTGTCAGGATATTGTTAATGTAAGGAACTCTTTCCTATGTGCAAATCCCAGAGATACCTTAGGGCATATGTTGATAAACTTCTAGTAAATACCTAGGCAAGGCTGCTTGGATCTTATGCAGAGCTGTTTTACTGTGCGGCATTCACAAGCATTATGCATAATTTATCGTCCTTGTAAACCATTTTGGGAAATTTTTCTGTATACTTCCCATCTCAATGAAGAGATATCACATGAGTAAACGGTCTAGGCCTCTAGGGTCCTGAAATAAGTGAACACTAACAAAACGCAAGTCAGGATTTAATAAATAATGTTTATAGTAGTTATAGGCCTTATAGCTTAAGATGATTTTGAAGGAGAAAGATGGGGAACAAATGAACAACTTAACAAAGAACATACAAATTCTTGAGTAATTCTTCTCCAAGATCAAGTCACACCAAATATGGCAACATGAGAATAAAAGATCAAGTAAAAAAAGAAGACTAAATCATCATTGACACAAGTACATAACTAGAAATTATCCTCTTTAAACTCTAAGGGAGTAAGGGGTCATTTGCTTGGGGGATTTTGGAGGGTATGGGAGAGGAGGATTATTTTTTAATTACTAATATAGTGCTGTTTGTATTAGGATTGAAAATCTCTTTCTTTTCAAAACAATCTAATGTAAAAAGTAAAATAATAACATAAAAAATCATGCATACCCTTCAAACATGATAAATACTAACAATAATAATGCATATATAGGATAATAGTTATACCTTGTATTTATTATCCATTTACTCCAATTCCATATAGAGGACGTTCGAATTTCTTTGACCTCCAATGCACTAAGCATGGGAAACTGAAGGACATCCAGATAATAGGGCCACCAGGTCAAACATCCCAAAACTCATTTTCTGTTCTTTTACGCCATACCTGCCACAACTGGACCTATCCGTAGCTAAAGTAAGTTTGCTCAGTCTGGTTGATCCCATTTTCATGCATATGATACCTCAATTGAAGGTCAAAAGGAGACATGCCTTCTTTACAAAATCTATACATGACCCCGTTTGTGAAAACATCAGGCTTTAATTTCTGCTCGCACATATCACATAACAACTTATCTACAAGAAAATAATCCCTTTCTTTTATCAAACCACGAAGAAGAATATCATAAGTTGTGACATCTGGTGAAATCCCTTTACTTCTAAAATATGAATATATAGTGTATGCTTTTCCAACTAATCTCTTCTTGCACAGGCTGCTCATGAGAGCATTAAATGTCCCTATACTAATATGAAAGCCTTCACCAATTACATGATCTAAAAATTTCACTAACGGTGTGATCTCTAAAGCATTGCAAAAATACAGAATCAAACAAGTTGAACTCACTACATCGAGTTCAAACCCTTCATATTCCATTATGTATAAGATCCTTTGTATTATTGTGGAAACTCCTTGTTCACATGCAGCAGCCAACAATGTATTGAAGGAAATCAAATCTACGGGCCAACCAATCTGGTAAAAAATCTCCATAGCTTCATCAATTTGTTTCTCATTGCATATTCCTTTCAATATCGTGTTGTAGGACACAATCGTCGGACTGAAGCCTATTCCCGTCATGTTATTCACCATAGAGAGTGCTTCTTGTGTTCTGTTACCTTTACACAAAATATTCAAGTATATATTATATATCACAACATCGACAAAGCAGCAACTTGAAGAAATAATTCGACGAATGAGCCTTTCGGCTACACTTAATTTTCTCCTTTTCAACAAACCAACCGCTATAGCAGCATAAGTATATTGGTCAGGCGTGAACCCTTTTCCATCAATAATTTGGACAAGCTCGCCTATCTTGAAGTGTCGCCTATTGTGTTGGCAAAGTGCTCGGAGAACAACATTATATGTAACCAAGTCTGGACTACATCCCTTAATTTCTTCCATCATCTTCAATAGGTCCAATGATTCTTTAAGTTTCCCATCATCAGAAAGAGACTTTATAACAATAGTATATGTTATCACATTAGGCTCATGCCCTTCAACTTCCATCTCATCTAAGCATTCAAATGCTTCTTTCCACGACTTCTTCCTACAAAATCCATAAACTAATGCGGTGTACGAGTAAACATCACATCTAAACCCCATCTTTTTTAAATAGCAAAGAAAGGCTAATGCATAATCAATATGATTGGACTTGCATAATGCCCAGAATATAGGGTTAAAGTCACGTGATCCTTGGAAACAATCCTTTTTGCTTAAAAGAACAGTGAGAACAACAAAAGCTGTTGGAGGAATATTTGGATCATCTTTGCAGAGAGCAACAAATAATTTCACCAAACATGGTTCTGTAGGAATACATCCCAAGTTCAACATAAACTCAAAAATGCTGAACGAATCACTCAAACTGCCCAAAATAAATGATTTCTTCAACAACTTGGATAGCATACTAAATGATGGTAAGAAGCCAATTTCCCGCATATCCTTGCTTATCCAAATTGCATCTCTCAACCTCCCCAATGAGATCAGCCCATTCAGCATGGTGTTAAATGTAATTGCATTAGGGGAAGGCCCAAATCTCTTCATTCCCAAATATACCTCTACTATTTCATCTATGGATACAAATTTTGACCTCATGTTGCAATAAATTAATGAATTATAATCATGAACAGTAGGCTTCCAGGAGACGCACCTCATAGAACTCAATGCCTCAATAGCCTTCTTGATACATCCGGATACAGCATAAACCTGCAACTTTCGATGTAGTGCATAGCTATGAAGCAGGGACATGCCAGACCCTGGCACAAAATCAGGAGGACGATACAGTGACAATTGTAGGACACCACTTCACATGGCGTGTGACTGACCACATACAAAGAGCATACATATTTCGGGCCTCTCGGCCTAGCCAGGGACGGGAACAAATACAGTGCCGGGAAACAGCAAATTTTAGAATACTCCGTGCGGTAAAAAGCTGCAAAAAAAATAAATACTTTAAAATAAAAAAGAGATTTTGTGGGAATTCATGACCAGAGCATAGCTTGAAAAGGAATTGCAGATACGGCCATACGGGCTTAGAGAGGTATGCAGTTTGCGGATTGCAGAGTTGCTGAGGTATAGATCCATGCTATGAAGACACAAGAATGGAGAGATTCTGAATGAAGGGTATATCCAGGCGGGGTCAGGGCAGTCTACAGCAATTTTGAGGCCCTAGGGCCTAGACGCTCAAACTATAATATGAAATAAATTGAAGTAAAATACATACAAAATGCATTATATATTATGAATGTTCAGGAAAAAACTTTGAATGTAAATCATTCCAACTTGACAAAAAAAGGATATACTCTAATAGCTTGTTTTTCTTGATTTTTGAAGAAAAAAATCGTAAGAGCATCACTACAATCAAGAGTAGCTAACATTCTTTTCAATCGAAAGCATAACCATACCAGCTAATCTATATTCAGACATGATTGATTGTAAATAACTTTTTCTCAACAATTAGAAAAAGTTCTCTATGCAACAGCAACAATCACAGGTATAATCAATCAAATTGTGTATGCAATCTAAGCATTTGGAAAATAAATAATATAATCAATCTATTTTTTACAAACATAAATCAATAAACTAACTCATGGATATTGGATAAATCAATACACTTCATTCATCATTATCGTTACCCCCAGTGCCGCAAAGGCTCCCACCTACGGTGGGGTAAGGGGAGGTCGGATGTAGGCAGCCTTACCCAGTAATAAAGCACAGGGAGACTGTTTCCTGATGAACCATAGTGAAAATCGCATAAAAATTGCATGGACTGATAGTTGTTTCATAAAAATTGCAGGGGATAAGGGTCAGATAGGGCCTCGAACTTGAAAAAAAATGTCAAATAAGGCCATATTTAGGATGCTCTGTCCGGCCGACGCCATTTGAGGTGGTTCCCGGTGGAATTTTTTGATGAACTTTTTTGAGAATCTTATTCATTAAGTCTAGTTTACTCATATCAAATTTGAACTAACAATTCAATCGGGAAGGCATTCAAATGAATTCATGAAGATAACTGCGCTTTTAACGGTACAGTTATCTTCAAGAATTCATTTGAATGCCTTCCCGATTAAAGTTTTAGTTCAAATTTGATATGAGTAAACTAGACTTAATGAATAAGATTCTCAAAAAATTTCATCAAAAAATTCTACCGGGAACCACCCCAAATGGCGTCGGCCAGACAGAGCATCCTAAATATGGCCTTATTTGACATTTTTTTCAAGTTCGAGACCCTATCTGGCCCTTATCTCAAATTGCAGACAGTTTAGTGAGTCATTTTGCTTTATTCCATAATATTATCAATGGAGCTTGAGTCTTTGGCTCAATTGCAAATGATGGAAATAAATCAATACATTTATAGTACATAATTACATATTCTCAATTGCCAAAAAGTATCAAAAGTACCTAAAAGTCAAATTGCAAATGCCCAAAAGCACAAAAACAGAAAGTCTTAACCTGAAATTGGAGCTGCTTTACTGCTTCGTTGTGCGCTTGTGCGCTTGTGCGCTTGTGCCCGCTAGTATGACCTGAAGTCCTTAACTGAGTGAACTGAATTCGCCTACAGCCTACTCGCCAGCTCGGCTACTCCCGGCCTCCTGAGCCCTGTCGCGCGCCTCAGCGATTCCGTCAATCCGTCTGGCGGTCCGGGCCCTGCGCTGCCTGACGCTGCTGTCCAGCCGTCCAGGTCTCTAATTGCTAGACCCCTTAAAATCCCACAATTCCCTAATGGCGGTAAAGGGTAAAATTTTGAATCTAAATGGAAGAAGAGTAGAATCAGCAGTGAGGCAGACGTGCAGGTATCGTGAATTTTTTTAGCAAATAGGTATCGTGTAGACCTGCCCAAATGGTTCGGCTCGGGCTCCGGCTCAGGTCAGACTTTTAATAAATTTTCTGTCGATCACGTGTGGACGGGTCCGGCTCTGCCCGCAAAAACGGGTCTAACCCCATGTCCAAACCTGCCTATTAGCCTGAGAAAGAGCAAAAGTTTTTAGGAAAGTGAAATCATTCATTACCTTCTGTTGGGGTATTGGGCCCAAGCCCAATACACCTGGCCTGAAGCGTAAAGGGGGCCCAACGAAAGGATCAAAGACTTCCCGAACGGTATTCGGGAGGATTTGTCCACTTGAGACGATTAATGAAGTACTAACATCAAATACCTTCAAGGGGGTCCCGCACACCGAACGTGCTATCCGAACGGGTAGTCAGCAATTGGTAGCCGCATTTAATGCTAAAGCATGGCAGAAGCAAGTGGAGGCATGGGTGTATACGTGGCAGAGGTTACAGCCTACCGGATTCAGCCACGTGTCCAACTCACCCATCCCCACCCTAGTATAAATACCTGGGCTTAATACAGTGTAAAGGGTTAGCATTTTAATACTCAGAGCTTAGCAGATAGAACTGTCTCTCTTACAGTATAAAACGACATCATTTCATTTTATTCGCCCTCACTTTTTTTGTTCTCCCACACATTCCGCCAAACTACATCCCATGACTGCCCAGGCACCTATAGCAGCAATCACATCCTTGCATTTTGGTGTGTCCATGTTTTGACCGGAAGAAGTAAATGGAAAAAATGAAATCAAAGTTGCTACAAGAAAAAGTGAAAAACTTGAAGATGCTAGCAATGAGTTAAATAAAATAAGTATATTCTATTTCATATTCATGCACTATTTTTATTCTTCTAATATTTTTATATTCATACACTTTTATGCAATATTTTTTAAATATTCATACACTTTTTTCTATAATATTTTCTAAATCTCTATTACTTCGTATGTGTTTTAGAGGTTCTTAAGACATTGAGTTTGTTTATTTTGATTCTTGAAGTTACATTTGATAATACATTGAATTACATCTTTTTAAGCGTAAGCTAAGCTACGTCACACCTTTTTATACGCGAGTTACATTTTATTATGTGCGAGTTACATCTTCTTGTGCGCGAGCTACATCTTCTCATGCGAGAGTTACATTTTATTATGAGCAAATTACATTTTCAAATGTGCAAGTTACATTTGTACTTACCTCAACATGTACAAATGTAATTAGCTAATTACATTTGGACTAATTAAACTACAACAGAAGTAACTTGTTTTTCTATACCAATTTATTACAAAAATTTATTAAACCACGTAAAGTAATTATATTGTATTTCATAATCATACACTATTTTTTTCTTCAACTGAAATTACAACCCATTTTTTCTGTAATATTTTTTAATATTTATACATTTTTTGTAAAATATTTTTCGTATTCAGACATTTTTGTCTATAATATATTTCTTATCTCTTTTATATTTTTAGTGTTTTTAAGATATTAAGTTTGTTGATTTTGATTTAAATTTAATAAAACATGAGATTACATTTTTCATGCGTGTGAGGTATGTTTATAGACAATTTATGGAGTTACATTTGATAGTATATGGTGTTAGATCTTCTTTTGTGCGGTTTGCATCTTCACGTGTGCGAGTTACATCTTCTTATGCGCGAGTTACATCTTCTAACTCTTCTAATGCACAAGTTACATTTTTTATGCGCAAGTTACAATACCTGATGCGTAAGTTACATTTGGATTTACTTCAACAACTTACATTTTGCATACACGTAAGTTATGCAATCTAAAACGCGAGTTAACATTTGCCATAACGTGAGTTACATCATAAAATAAAGCTGTTTTTGAAACTGTTTTTGAAATCTTTTCAAAACATTATTATTTAATCATTTTTATAATCATGATATAAAAAACAAAACATATTCACTATTTACGTAAAGTAGTTGAGCAATTAAACTCCTTTTTCATTGTTTACATTGAAATCAATGTTTTATTTCTTATCCTCCATATTAGACAACTCACATTTCGACTTGCTTGCAATTACATTTTTTTATGAACATGCGTTACATTTTTGACATGCGAGTTACATCGGTCGATGACATGGTCTTGGTGAATGTGGTCGACGTAGGGTACATGGCAACATGAGAAAATTAAAACCCTAGGTCTTTGATACCATGTGAATAGTTTGCTCGTAAGAATAGTTTGAAAGGATCTTTTAGCTCTTATACCATGAAGTTTTAAAGAAGATCAAATGAAAAGGTAGGGTTCAAACCGTTGCTCGTTTCATGGAGCTCAAACACATGTTATCTCATGTGAAGAAGCAAGAGAATCAAACTATGGAGTAATATTCACGAGAAATCAAAGTTATGGCCGACGCTCTTGCCCCCATAAAATTCCTATTGTCCAATCATGATCTTATCTATTAGGGAATCCACATCCATGAGATTTTTTGGGGATGATCTCGATGATGTAGAAGAGTTTTTTTTAGGTTATGGTTGGGGAGATGAGATCATTTCGAAAGATTATTTAGATAAAAATTCCTCGTGACTGACTCTCATGGCAGTGGACTGTGACTGGCTCTCATGGCAGTAGACAGTCTCACCAGCAAGGGCAACAACATGACCAATTTTGAGGTGGCAGAAATCAGGGGGCTCGCGACAGAGGTGGCCGCACTTGTGACCGTGCCTTGGCTTTTATGGACAACATGATATCTTCCTTTACGGTGCATCAGAGGGTGGTCATGGCAGACATATTTCGGGAAACTCAAGTATTGCATATGTTTCATGGAGTAAGTCATATTTTGATACTCATCTTTCCCCCATCTCTCGGCCTAATTTTTTTTAGTGCAGGTTCTTCTCCACGTGAGAATATGGATATGGTTCAGTTCCGACCACCCATTATTGTGTGTCAGATTTGTTTTAGTCCAAGTCATTCGCCAATCTCTTGTCACCCCCGCTTTAGTGCTTTACTCCTCTACCAACACCTGTTTTAGGTGCTTTACCTACTGGTGAATCGCATGACTCGGTCTGGTATCCTGACTCCGGAGCTAGTGTGTATGACCTCTTATGCAGGTATATTTAGTCATTGGACTCCCTTTACCGGCCCACTTATAGTGTTCAAGTGGCCAATGGTACTAATTTATCCATTGTAAGTGTGGGTGATGTTGCTTTAAATCTTCCTCAGTCATCCTTGAAATAAAAAATGTTATGTTCCCACTAATATATATATACTTTAATTTTGGTTCATATATTATGCGTGGATAATTATTGTATTGTGGTTTGCACTAAAAATTATCTTGTTGATAAGGACAATCAAACGGTGATGATTTACTTCAGGCTTATAGTAGAGGTCATTTCTATCCCATCACTATTTCTGCATTACCCTCGCGACATGTGGCGTTATTACTAAATCCGTCTATGGTTTTCTTTGGCATCAGCGACTTGGACATTGTGGGGATCATGTTCTTAGGCCTTAATAAAGACATTTTCATTTTTAGTTTAGTGATTTTTCTCACACTTGTGTTTGTTGTTGAGTATCACTGTTTACTATTTCAAAAATAATAGCGGATATAGTTAGGCCCATTTGTATTAGACCTTATTATATTATTAGTATAAATATGACGTGAGGGCTACCGGTGAGGTAAGCCATTATTCTCCACTTTTATTATTTCACATGGTATCTGTTAGTCTCCAATTTTGATAGATTTTGATGATGCCACTATACTAAACAAATGTACATTGAGTCTTATTTTCAAAAGTAACATTTAAAGTTAAATCATAAGTGACAAAAATAAATGTACAATCTTTAAGATTAATGATATATTACCGGATACATAAAAATGCAATAAGGTAACTTTTTACCTTCATAGGATATTTAAATCCTACCGGCATATATCATTTTACTCAAAGATTAAATATAGGTCACATTTGAGATGCTCGAATACATTGAATATTGATTGGAAGACAAAAGTTGACCAGCATTAAATACACGGTCATACAGCATGGGAAGATTTCTTGGAGTGAAGCTGCAGCGGCTGAAGACAAACCCATGCCGCGTCCCAATTATTGAAGACATGAAACAAAAGCATTAAAAGCTCCTGCACAAGAAGACGAATGTACAATTCGTCCTAGCCAGACCCTCAACGAACAAGATTAATCCATCTCAACCAACGGATGAGATTAATCAACCATGAAGGCCTATAAATATAGGTAGAAGCATGAGTTCTAAAACAAGCTTGAGCATCCTAAGTAGAGAAATACTTTCATCAAAGCATATACGAGCTATCTAGCAAAAGAGAAAGTGCAAACTCAACTTTACTCTCTGCTTAGCCTCATGCTTCACTAAGCTCTTAGATTAGATCAACACTTTCATATATTTAGAGCTTAGTTCATAGTTGGAGGTTAGAAATTTCTTGTAATCACAAGTTGTTGTAAACACTTAGGAGAACAGTTGTTCGGATCCTAAAGTGTGGTTAGATAGATAGAGTACCTTTTGATCCCCACTGGATCAATCGAGAAAAGTCTAAGGACTGAGTAACTTTGAGTGGTGTCATACTCATTGTGAAAAACCTTCAATCTAGGCCTAAGTGTTGTAAAGGCTAGATTGACACTAAGTGTATTGGGCTTAATACTTTAGTGAAAATCCATCTGAAATAGGTTGGGACTGGATGTAGGAGGATTACACCACCTCTGAACCAGGATACATCGTGTGTTGATTCTCCTTTACTCAACAGAGCACACACCCAACACTTCTCATTAAAGGGATCGTAGTTTGCCAGCAGCATCCTAAGCGGTAGTCTTAATTGACTCTACTGCTTATCCTACTGCTTAATAACTCACTTTTCTTTGAGACAACTGTTTCACACGAGCTTTGGAATACCACTACTAAAAGGTTTGGTTTGTCAGTTCTCAGAAATACTCCTTTCATACACAGCAGACGGCTTAGCAGTTCCCTGAGTCTACCCAACTGCTCAGACCTCTGCTCAGGCAAAACTCCTTATTCCCTTTAGC